TGCCCGGCCAGAGCAGGATTAATCCCTTCACAATATTCACAGCTTCTTTCTCTGGTCTTGCATTACATGACTCTAGACAACCGATGGGCGAAATTCCTGACTGACCACAGCGGTGGATCAACAGATGCCCTGACACCGCCCTGTGGAGCCAGCGACGATGTTCTAATGCAAAGATCAACGTAACGGGCCAGATCCTCTGCTGGTGTGATTCTGAGCAGCCCAGCGGAGTCCTTCTCTAATCCAGTACAAAAGATTGAGAACCGCCGGCCAGAAGGATACTGTAACATTTGGCCTGCAAACACCACAGGCCTTTGCAAAGCCCTTTGGGATCTGGGCATGAGTAGTCACTAATGCCCGTTATGGGGCTGCCCCAGCCAAGCATGCAGCCCCTCTGATGCCCCGGTCTCCCCCCAAAGAGAGAAAATGCAAAGTTTGCACCGTCATGCACGACACCATTCGTCTAACAAAGTGCCAGGCAGGAAACTGACAGGCTCTTTCCCCCTGACTAAGATGTGTCGGGCAAAGAGACTCGGCAGAGAATAAAAGGAAAGAATTGAAGCCATGAAAAATGAGATCCAGGCAGGGCATTCCTGGCACCGCTCCATTGCCTCTGGTATTCGAAGCATTCCTCGCTCCGAGAGGCCTTGGCACGGTGAGGGATTGCATCGGGCAGTGGCAGGGGAACGCAGGGTGTGAGGGCGGTGCCAGTCCCCAGCTGGGCAGGAGAGGAGCGGCTGCTGGTCAGAGCGCAGAGCCGCTCCGGTGTGCTGCACTTAGGGACGCGTTGTGCATAGCTCAGTTAACATCTGCTGGGCCTCACGTTCAGGGGGACTGAGCGCCCCGAGCCCGCGATGAAGCCTATGGCAGGTGCAGTTGTTCGGTGCCCCTGAAAATCGGGCATCTTGACCTCAGTTTACCAAAGAGATCCAGGCCCCAGTTCCAAGCACTTGGTGCCCACAATGGGGGCTGGACTTAAATATTTACGGCAGTTGTCCAGCAGCGCTCAGAGCCCAGCAGCTCCCACTGGGCCGGATTTCCCCAAGGTGCTGGGCTCATCTGAGAGCCTGGCCGGACGGGAGGGCTGGAGGAAGGGAGTTTTCTTGTGCCAGGCAGAGCAGGACGGGCTGTGGGAACGTTTCGCCGCCTTGTGCCTCAGATGTCAAGTGTATTAACTTCCCGCTGCTCTGAGAGAGACACCCAGCTCTGCCAGTGCCCCACCTGCAGCGCCCCCAGCTATTCCAGCCCCGGGCTCCCCCCCCAGCTCCGCCAGTGCCCCACCTGCAGCGCCCCCAGCTATTCCAGCCCCGGGCTCCCCCCCCAGCTCCGCCAGTGCCCCACCTGCAGCACCCCCAGCTATTCCAGCCCCGGGCTCCAGCCCCGGGCTCCTCTCCCCAGCTCCGCCAGTGCCCCACCTGCAGCACCCCCAGCTATTCCAGCCCCGGGCTGCCCCCCAGCTCCGCCAGTGCCCCTCAGTGCCCACCTACAGCCCCTTCTCTGATTGTCCTGGGCCTGCCTCAGCTCCTTCTTCTCTGCTTTTTGGATCCTCTTGTCCTCTGTGAAGATGCTGCCAGTCATGCCAAGTTCCACAGGGGCCTCCGGCGGGTTATGAAGAGAGCAAACGCCCCTCCCCAGCCCCTCCCCCCTCTTGCTGGGGTAAGGAAATCTGAATCATCAGCCCCACTTCCTTCAGCAGCTGGGGGTTTGAACCCCAGCCAGGCTCCGGACAGGCCTCGGTCACAGCCCGAGACAGCACAGCGTGAGGCCGGGATATTTATGGCCTGTGTATTTTTAGATGCCGGCCCGTGGATAAAACGAAATCAGTTTTCCACATTGGGCACGTCGGTTCCCATTTATATCACCAAGGTTCCCTCGAAAATAAATAAACCGTAGGGCAGGGCTGTAAATATGCCGACAGGGCCGGGGGGAGTGGGGGGAGCAGGGGTTCGCAGCGAGGTGACCAGCCAGGCACTAAAGGAGCAGGTACTTCAGACAGCACAGGGCTAGACTCCCCCTCAATGGGGCTGGATTCTCCAGGAGCCCAGCCGCGTTAGATGCCATGCTGTTTGGTAGATCTGGCCCCAACGGGAGGGCTGAGCCCTGGGGATCTGGCCCTAACCAAGGACGCTCCGTCCAAGACCCGGATCCTGCAGTGAGCTCTGTGTCAGCACACGGGGAACAAAAATTTGGTAATAAAAGACTCTTTGGTCTCGCAGGCAAAGAACCGGTGGCTGGAAGCTGCAGCTGGACAATTTCAGACTAGAAGCAAGGTGCAAATCTTCCTTGGTGAGGGCGATTAACCATGGGAACAACTTTACCAAGGGGCGCTGGGGCTTTGCCATCGCTGGACCCCACCGGGGGGCTTTGAAGCATCTGCAAACTGAGGCAGTGGGGTTATCTCCCAGCGCTCACCACACCAAGGTGGGTTTTGCGGCTGAAACACCCAGTTACCTGCCTTCTCTAGTCAAAATTACAAAAGGGGGAGGGGGGAATGGAGCCTCCAGACTTACCCCAGCCCCAGCCCCGCTGATCCATCCTCCCACGCAGCCTGGCATTCCCACTGCTGCAACAGAGATTCGTAACCAACCCCAATTCCTAGCCCAGCCTGGTGCCAGCAGGGAGATCAGCTGCCTCCTGGATCAAGTGATGGGTACCGGGGAGCAGTGGCGTCGTAGGGGGGCTGAGCTGTGTCCGTTGGCTCCACCACACCTGGATTTTGGACCCTGTCCCGTAGACTCGATGGCTCTGTTAAACCCAGGGGGCGTCCTGCAGCTAGTCTCTTAACTCAAGTGGTGGAGGCTCGTGCTGTTCGCTCCATACGTTCAAAGCCCACTTTCTGGGGATTTCGTTTCCCGCTACACCAGAATACGTTGAGAGCAGCAGCAATATATTAACCCCCCGCCCCCAATGAACTCAGGAACGTGGGTCCGCGGTTTCCAGGATTGTTCTGATTCTATTCCAGCTGGTTGGCCGGGCCCTAATTAGACCTGACTTTCCTAGGACTGGCCGGAGAAGGCTCCTTTCCCCATCCCCTTTCTCCTTGCAGTGTTTTCTGGACAGCCCCTTTTTGTTCATCCATTCTCAGTCGCTGGGCTGGGACTTCCCTGCCCTGGGGCATTAGCACAGGCTCTCCAGGGGGCAGGTCTGGGTTCCGTTTTCCAGCCCTACCCAAATACCCATTTGCAGTTAGTCTCCAGGCGCCAGCTCAGAACGTGGAGGGCTACATGTGCCCGCCCCCAAGCCCTGGGGCGCGGGGGGCAGCATCCACCGCCAGGATGAAACATCCAAGCGAGATCGTGGGTGGTGAGGGCTGTACATGTGCAGCAGACAGCGCAATTCAGTCCTGCTTGGTGCTTTTCCATGGCTTTTATTGTGATGGATGCTCATTGGCCCAGCCGCTCAGCACCCTTGGGAAGGCAGGTAAACGCAACATAGCATCCATTTCACAGCAGGGGAAACTGAGGCACGGAGACTTGGGGAGGTGACTTGCTCAGGGGTGCACGTGGAGCTGCTTATGCAAACTCCAGGACTCCCGAATCTCAGCCCCCCACCCCCCATTCTCTGGCCTACAGATGTCACTGCTTCCCTGGGATTGAAAGGGAATTGAACTGAATTGCTTTTCTGTCTTATTCTCTATCCCTTTCTTAATGAGGCCCAACATTCTGTTCACTTTGTTGACGGCCGCTGCACATTGGGTGGATGTTTTCAGAGAACCGTCCACACTGACTCCACGATCTCTTTTGTGAGTGGTAACAGCTCATTTAGACCCCATCATTATATAGATATATACAGTGGTGGACTCGGACCAGAAGGATAGAAAAGAGAGTCCTGTTGGGCTCCATGGGAGACTCCAGACTACAGGACCGAGCGAGCGCCTGCAGAGAGGCAGCGGCCAGAGAACTCACCTGGGGCTAAGGAGACCTGACTTCTAGTCCTGGCTCTGCCAGTGACCGGCTGGGTGGCCGTCCCCTCCCTGTGCCTCAGTTTCCCCTCCTGCCCTTTGTCTATGTAGCCCGTCCATGGCAATAACGACCCTTTGTCTGTTCAGGCAGAGGACGCTTCGGGGCAGGGACCATCTCCACGATGTGTCTGTGCAGCATCCGGCAGGAGGAGCTAGAACTATCGCAATACAAACACCAGCACAGAGGCGCAGGGCTCTCCGAACAAAGCGCCCTGCCCCTAGGGTTAGCGTCTGCCAGGCTCCCAACAGAGGGCACTACTCTGAGGGGAGGGAGAGGGAGCTGGAGGGGGGATACGCTTGGGGGTGTGTGGCTACTGGAGGAGGTACCTGGGGGGTACTGGAGGGGGTATTTAGGAGGTGCTGGAGGTGTGTGTGTACTGGTAGGGGGTACCTGGAGGCAGTATCTGGGGGGTACTGGAGGAGGTACCTGGGGGGTACTGGAGGTGGTATTTAGGGAGTGCTAGAGGGGTGTGTGTGCTGGGAGGGGGGTACCTTGGGGATGCTGGTGGTGGTAGCTGGGGGGGCACTGGAGGGGGTATTTAGGAGGTGCTGGAGGTATGTGTATACTGGTAGGGGGTACCTGGAGGCAGCATCTGGGGGGTACTGGAGGAGGTACCTGGGGGGGTACTGGAGGGAGTATTTAGGGGGTGCTAGAGGGGTGTGTGTACTGGGAGGCAGTATTTGGGGGTGCTGGAGGCAGTACCTGGGGGGTACTGGCGGAGGTACCTGGGGGGGTACTGGAGAAGATATTTACGGGGTGCTGGAGGACAGAGGATGAAAAAAGAGGTGATGTCCAGGAAGCCCCGGACAGGTGGTAACCCTGCCTGCCCCAGCAGCTGCCCTTTCTCTTCTCTCACCCAGGGACCCTGGCTCTTCCGTTAGCTCCTCGTCTTCACGTGGACGATAGCCACCACGATGCAGAGGGGCACATAGACGGCCGCGATGATATAACCCTTCAGAGTGCAGTGGCACGATCCCTGGCTCCCCCCGCCCTCCTGCCCTCCCTCATCACCTCCCGCCAGCGTGGTCCTCCCGCCTGTGGTCACAGGCGCTCCGCCTCCTGGGGGCCCGTCGATGTTCTCCGTCCTCCTGCTGGGGGACCCGTCGATGTTCTCCGTTCTCCTGCTGGGGGACCCGTCGATGTTCTCCGTTCTCCTGCTGGGGGGCCCGTCGATGTTCTCCGTCCTCCTGCTGGGGGGCCCGTCGATGTTCTCCGTCCTCCGCCTCCTGGGGGGTCCGTGGTTCCTCCTTTGCCAATGTCCCCTTCCTGCCCACGTTCTTTGCCGGGGATGGAACACAAGAATTGCACGTGAATAGCAATTGTGGTTTCCTGCCATGCACGGCTGGGGCTGGGGGGTTGGTTTTAGATCTCCGGCCAGAGACGCTGGGACAATGTGTCTGGTGGGGGTGCTGAGAGCCATGGAACCAAACTGCCAACCGTGCATAGGATGGAAACCACATCAAGCCAGGGGGTGCGGCAGCCCCCCGCTCCCAGTTCCAGCCCCTGTCTCCAGCCCCTGTCTCCAGCCCCAGAGCTGTGGGAGGGGCTTTCTCAGCTCGATCTACAGCAGCGTCTTTAACACAGACAGGCTGCCGGCGTTTCGTGCTGCGTGGAGCCCCCCAGTGAGACTCCGTCGGCTTCAATGGGGCTGCACCGATTGACCCCAAACGCGGATTGGGCCCCCGTGGCATGGGTTGGATTGCAATGGAAACGAGAGGGAAATGAGGAAGAGGAGAGAATGGATGGATTCCTCCAGGGCTCTGGCCTGTGCTTGCCCTGTGGTCTCATCCCACATTGGGCAATATGTGGAAGTGACAAAAATAGCGTGTGTCTGACAGGAGGGCGTGCCTGAGCCTCGTGGCACCTAAAGGTCACCACCCCCACCCGACTTTCCGGCCCCCTGCCCTGCGGGGTGGCTGCCGAGAGACGCCGCGTCCTTCCCCCTGCCTGACGAGAACCCACCGCTGGCGCTGGGAATTTTTACCCATCGGCTTGAGATGAGTCACAGAATCTGACAGTCTCTTTCCCACTCCTCCTGCCCCTGCTGGGGCTAATAAAACTCACCCCAACTGGGATCAGGGCCCTGCTGCGCTAGGTGCTGTACACCCCCTTAAGCAGACAATCCCTGAAGAGCTTACACTCGGAAGAGATGAAGGAAGGGTTAGTCAGCTTCCCTGTGTCTACAGCTGGGGAAACCGAGGCACGGAAGGACAATGTGACTTGCCCAAGGTCACACAGCCAGGCAGTGGCAGCGCTACGAATTGAAGCTAGCTTTTCTGAATCCCAGGTCAGTGCCTAAAAGCTGCCCTTCCTTTCCGGGCCTGGCTTCGCTGCAGAGTGAGCCTGGGTGGTCGGCACCCAGGGCTGAGCCCCCGGCTTAGCCTCGCCCGGGTGTGAGTTTGTGTCTTCGCTCGTTCTGCGCATCCCCGTGTGTCTGTCCCGAGGACTTCTGGGGGCACTTCCCATGGCGCTTGGTGCTGCGGCAGGCTGAGCCGCTCTCTTATTCTTTCCCAGTGAATTGAGGGAGACCTTGTCTGTCCTTCTGGGCACACGGGGGGTGAAGAGGGGGATGGTGGGAAGGCACTGGAGGACTATCAGCACTGGAGCGGCTCAGCCAGTGTTCATGCTGCAAAGGGGGTGGGTGACCAGCCTGTGTGAACATGGCCCCTGTGTGCTAACCCAGCCCCTGACCTGAGCCGGCTAGCCTGGGCTGAAAGCACCCCCAGACCGGAGCGTTTGTGTGTGGACAGGAGTTGGGCTGGGGTAACACCCGGTTAGGAGCCCAGGCTAGCGCAGTCCCATGTGCTGAGCTGCGGGAGGGACTGACTTACCTCGCACTGACAGCTCATAGGAGAACGCCCTGGGCTTGGTAGGGTCTGAGGCGATATCCACAACGGCGCGGTACGGCCCCTGGTCCTCCAGCCGCAGAGCGCGGATCTCCAGGGAGAGGTTCCCGGCGTGGATGGCCAGCCGGTGGCTGAAGTTGGGTAAGAAATTGACGTTGAACACCTGGGCCTGGGGTTTGGCCTCTGCGATGTGAGTGCCCTGCCTTTCCGAAAACCACAGGATGCGGACGATGTCCCTGGCCACGGGGCGCAGGGCGGGGAAATACACGGACTCACCCACCAAGCCCTCCAGCTGCACATGGCCGGAGGAGAGCCACAGACCTGCAAGGAGAGGGGAGGCAGGAGGGCATGGGTGAATTGAATACGGATTCTTACACGGCAGGGGGAATTGGGCCCATCGGTCCATAAAAATCAGCACTGGGGGGACACGCCTTTCCAGAGCCATGAATAGAACCCAGAAGTCCTGAGTGCCAGTTTAGTGCTCTATCCACTAGATCACACTGCCTCCCCTAATTGATTTACATGGGGCGTTATACCAGGATATGCTCACGTGTGAATTTAAAGTGCTGTAGTTATACCAGTATAATGCCCCACGATGCATCTCCCACGGTAGGGCGGACGCAGGGCATGACAGCGGGCACGCGGAGCCCAGCGGCCGCGCTCTCTTGAGTTAGGCTGCAGTGTGACAAAATGCTCGAGATCAACTCGGCCTCGGTAAATCCGGAGAGGAGACAAAGCCAGAGTGCTAGGGGCTGTACAGGTTCAGCCCAGCTGGATTAAGTGGGACAGAAGCAGCGACTAGCCGGGCGCTCTCTGTCCAGGGGAGCTGTGTCACTCTCAGAGACTGGGCCCTGCGAAGACCTTTCCTTTCCCCGTTCTGCAGAACTTGCCTCTGTCATCCCCATGGGGATGTGAAACCCCCTGGGAGTGGGCAGCAAGGCCTCTTCCATTCGCCTCGGTGCTGGAAGGGGTTTTTCTCTTGCTCTCATAAATCCACCCCCCAGAGACGGACACTAGGTCGAAGAAGGGTTCTTCCGTCGACCTCGCGGTGTCTACACCGGGGCTTCGGTCAGCTTAACTGTTGCTCTCGGGTACGAATTTTTCACACCCCTGAGTAACGTAGCTCCATTTTAGACCTGGCCCTAGTGAGATTTGAGAGGGGACGTATCTCTGGGTAACCCGAAGACCCCAAGTTATCAGAGCCAGCGCTGGGAAACCCTGCCAGGGAAATTAAACCCTGCCACAAACCCTGCCACAAACCCTGCCAGGGAAATTAAATCTCCTGGGTCAGGGCACAGGGGCGGCTCCAGCGAGTGCCTGGGGCGGCAAGCCCCGGGGGGCGGCAGGCAGGCTGCCTTCGGCAGCATGCCTGCGGGAGGTTCACCAGTCCCATGGTTTCGATGGCAATTTGGCGACGGGTACGCCGAGGGCGCGGGACCGGCGGACCTCCCGCAGGCACGCCGCCGAATCCGCGTTACCAGCGGACCTCCTGCAGGCGTGCCGCCGAAGGCTGCCTGACTGCCGTGCTTGGAGCGGCAAAATACATAGAGCCGCCCCTGTCAGGGCGTAAACCCATTTCTCAGTATTAGAGACCAGGGTGAGACATACAAGGTGTGTATGTGGGGGGAGGGGGACTTCCCCACATCTGCCCACTGCGGGGTTCTTGCACCTGCCTCTCAAGCTAGCCACGGTCAGAGACGGGCTACCGGGGCTGGGAAACTCCCTCCCAGCTGCTGTATGGACACTAGGGGACAGACTCACTTTCGTGTGGTATTGGGGACTTTAAGGGGGGAGCTTCGGGTGTGTCTACACTGCATGCTAAGCCTGGTCTGTGGGACCCGAGCTTGTGGACTCGGTGTTTCCAAGCCTGCGTTTGAGTGTCCACACTGCATTGTAAACCTGGGCTTACAGTAGCTGGACTCAACTCACAGCCGTGCTAACGGGTCCACACTGCGTTACGCAGACCTGCTGACTGGGGTCTGGGGCTTGAGCTGTGTCCGCACGGCAGAATGACAGGGCTTGGAGCCAAGTCTGAGCAGGTCTCGGGCTCTGACCCACTTCTCCTAGCAGAGTCCTAGGACCTAGCTTACTGACCTGAGTCAGGCTGATTTGCGTGTGGAGGCAAGGGCGGGTTGAGCTCAAACCGGAGTCAGACCCTGGGCTTGGTGCTCGGTGTAGACACACCCGGAGCGTTCGGGTGGGTGGCTGTGAAGCTCTTATTATGCCCAGCCACTTGGAACGAGACCCAGAATAAAGCAGGCGTCTTGCAAACACCTCCCGCACTAAGCGGTCACTGAGCGTCACCACCTGACAACACAATCCAAGAATCCCAAAGGGGGGTTAAAGTTACCTGCTCCACGCCCCGTCCCTGCCTCTGCCAGCCCCAGGGGAACTGCAAAGCCGGCTGCACTGGTCAAGAGAGCCCCATCGCCCCATCCCAGAGTGGTTCCAGCCCACCAGATAAACAAGAGGCCCCTTTGCTACTCACCCCCTGGAGCCAATAGCAGGAGGCTACGGAGCAGCAGCCCCATGGCTGGCCCCATGCCCCGGACTTCTGCTTTCGGGTAACTGCGCTGCAGCGTCTCTGCGTGAGCGGGTGTGGGGGCAGGGGTCTTATAAAGGCCCTGTGCGGCGCACAGGAAACTGGGCTTGGCCACAATATGCCCGTGTGTTAGTTCGCCTTTCCTGGCAAAGCTGGATGTGTGTGGCAAGCCGTGGTCGAATGCATCCGCAGAGGAGGTGGCTCGGGGGGGTAGCCAGGAGTGGTGTTAGGATTTTGCTGGCAGCCCAAGGAAAAGAGCACACTGAATGGTATTGCATGGAGGCAGTGGGTCCTAGTGGCTGGTGGCCAGGACTCCTGGGTTCTATTCGTGGCTCTAGAAAGGAGAGTTGTCCAGTGAAAACTGAAGAGGGAGTTGGTGTCATTTCTGCTGGCGTCTGTTCCCAGCTGCAGGCGGGACGGTGTTTTAACCGCTAGAGCGACAGACTGGGAGACAGGACACCTGGGTTCTGCACCTGGCTCTGCCACTGCGTTGCTGCCTGGCTTTGGGCAGGCCACTTCACTGCCGCCTTCTGCCTCAGTTTCCATCTCTGCGAATGGGCATGGCAATCCTTCTGTTTGCAAAGTTCTTCAGATCCTTGCATGAAAGGTCCCACAGCTGCACAAAGCCTTGCTTCTCCTATTTGTTGTAATGGAGCATTTAAACCTCGGGGGGCTATTTAATGCACCCCCCACCTGCAGTTCTTGGGTAACAGCTGGGGACCACCCACTGCTTATTTTGTAATGGAAGAGGGGCTGGGGCTCAAGCAACTGTTTTACTTTCATAAGTGATGCAGCAAGGCCAGAGGTGCCGGGCCCCTAGATCACGGGGCTCTGAACTGCCGGGCCCAGAATCATAGAATATCAGGGTTGGAAGGGACCTCGGGAGGTCATCTAGTCCAACCCCCTGCTCAAAGCAGGACCAATCCCCAGACAGATTTTTGCCCCAGATCCCTAAATGGCCCCCTCAAGGACTGAACTCACAACCCTGGGTTTAGCAGGCCAATGCGCAAACCACTGAGCTATTCCTCCCCCCAGAAGTGCCACGGCTAGGAACTGCCAGGCCCAAAGGTGCTGGAGCTCAACCCTGGCACAAATTAAACACCTGGACACCTCTTCACTCAAACCCAATGAGGTCACTGCTGCTCCCCGTCCAGGGTAACCAATCGCTTCAGGGCATTCTCTGGGCTCTGGCCTTTACTGGAGGCATTAGCCTGCCCTCAGTTTGTCTAGAGCAGCTCGCTCCCGTAGCTAAACCGACCATGGGGTTGATCCCACAGAGCTTCTATGGGGCGAGCGGCATGAGACTTCCTCTGGGAGGGGGCTCCTGTGTTGTGAGGCCCCTTGGCACGGGGGGAGCTTCTCCTGTCCCCGGGTCCCATGGTGCATGGAGCATGTAGCAACCCACAGGGTGGTGGTGGGAGCCGATAGTTTTCTGCTCTTGGGGTGGGGGAAGAGGCCTGTGGCTTGATTCTCCTGCTACGTCGGGGTGTGCTGGAGAGACTGGAGGGTTTGGTGCAGCGTGTCTGCATTAGGGGTTTACTGGCTCCGTCATTGCAAATTTCCCCTACCTAGACCCCATGAGAAGGCAACGATTTTGGGGGTGGGGGAGGGAGCCCCTCGCTTGCTGGGATGAGGCAAAACCACTTTGTTCAGGCTGTACAAATTGTCCTCTCCTGGGACCCACGTGGGGAAAGCAAACGGGTTTCCTCATCAAACAGACCCAACATCCCGTGACCAGCAGAGGAGCAGGAAAAGGGTCACCTTGCGACAGGCTGGCTATGGGTTGCGGACAGAGGGCCATATCCCGTCTTGCAGAGCCCAGCGGCGCTGGCGGGAAATGTCTCCTCATTAGACAGCATCAGACGCGAATGACTTCCCCAGCCCAACCCGCTGGCATCGCTTTGCATGCTCGTTCAGCTGGTGCCCAGCAAGACGTCCCGGAGAAAGGCCGTCCCAATAAAGTGAAGGGTGCTCGAGCGGAGCCGCTCCTCAGAGCTAATCAGACCAGTCATCCATCTCTCTATCCCAGGACACACCCATCACTCTCCATGCCATTGCTCTCTCCTGAATGGAATCAGAACTGTTCAGCTGTGTATCATTGGCCCTATACTGCTTATATGTAGTGGAGAGTCTCAGGTAGATGAAGAGGCAGGCCCTGGATTATTAGCAATGCTATTAGGCCCAGATCCACAAAGATAGTTTGGCTCCTAACTTCCACTGGAATCAATAGCAACCCTTCCTTTTAGCATGAAATGGAAGTTGCAAGTAGCCCACGCGTGCAGGAAATGTGATTGGTCCCAGGAGGTGGTTCTGGATTGGTCACAGCACGGTGAGCGACTCACACACGCTCTTCCCTGGACAGTCTGATAAATTACCTCCCGAGGAAGAGAGCCTTGGGAGGAACTGGGCTGAATTGATTCTGCTTGGGATGGCGGGCGGGAGGCCCTGGTCACACCAGATCCCGTCCCATGTTTGTCCTGGTCACCGGCTTCCTTCCTTGCTGGACATTCCTGACATTTGTTATTGGCCGGTGAGCCAGGGAAGAGATTTAAGCCCAGTGATATGAAATGTCCGGGAGAGCTGCTGAGTGGGGCTGTTTCTTGTTCTAACCCCTCGAGGGAATATCCCGGGGGACGGGTCTCTATGTCTCAGGGGTGCCTGCTGCTGACGCTCTCCTGGGAGGCACGCAGCCGGGCTTCACCGGGGCCTGCTCCTTTCGTGCCAGAGGCCTAGCACCTCACCCCTGCCCTTTCTGGTGGGAGGCGGCAGGCTCAGGCCCTACCCCAGCATTAGAAACGCACAGAGGACGGCGTCGCAAAGATGGTGACCCCAATGCCATGGGACAGGCTCTTTGCAGCTAGGCAGCATCCCAGGGAGCAGCCTTGCCCCTGAGGTGAGATCTCCTGCCACCCCGGAGCTCGGCTGAAGGGTCCCCTTAAACCGGTTCCCTTCGGGCTGGGTGGGAGCGAGGTAGAACGGCGAGGGACCTGCCTGGGGCAAACACGGATCTGGGGGGGGTGTTCCCGCTCACGTCTCACGGGTGTAAATGACGACCGAGACCCCAGCCCTCTTACTGGCGAAAAGGCGACAGGGGGCCTGATCCTGGCTGTTAAATGTCAATAGCTGCCGAAGCCAAGCGTGGTCGAGTGCTGCCACCACCTGGTCTGAACGGAGCTTGTTCTTTGCTTGCAATGGGGCAGTAGCCGTGTGGGTGGCAAGATATTAGAGGGACAAGGTGGAGGGAGGCACCCGACTTTTGTGGGGGGAAGCAGGGGACAAGCTTTCAAGCTCCCCAGAGCTTGTCTTCAGGTCACCTGAAGTTGCTCCAGTAAAAGATGTGATCTCCCCCACAAGAGACAGGGGTCCCTGGGTGAATTCCCATGGCCTAGTTATACAGACTGGTGAGCTGGTGGTCCCTTCTCCTTCTGGCTCTAACCCTATGGGCACGTCGATTTACACAACTCACCTCTGTCAACACCGTCTCCTCCCGATAATCCTCCGAGAGCAACATTTTAAACTTTAGTGCAATTGATGTAATGAGTTTTAAGCACTGAGAAAGCACAGAGCTGGTGTGCAGCGTGGATGGGAAGGAGAAAGGTAGGGCCATCGTCTTGGTATGGGGAAAAGGATGGGGTTAGAGTACCCCTAAGGGAAGATGGGTCTAGCCCAGGGCTTCTCAAACTGGGGGTTGGGACCCCTCAGAGGGTTGTGAGGTTATTACATGGGGGGGTTGCGAGCAGGCAGCCTACACCCCAAACCCCGCTTTGCTGCCAGCATTTATAATGGGGTTAAATATGTAAAAAAGTGGTTTTAATTTATGAGGGGGGGTTGCACACACAGGCTTGCTATGTGAAAGGGGTCACCAGTATGAAGGTTTGAAAACCACTGGTCTAGCCCCACCTATGACCTAGATAAGGATGAGGGGGATTTGAACTCAGGTATGTAGGAGTAGTAGGAAACCAACAGTGTCCTACCACCACCTGGTTACACTCTAGGATATTGCTCTCCCCAATTAACAGATGTTGCACTCTGCAGGAAGTTCCGCCTTATGTGATCTGACTGACAGTTGCCTTAGCGAGCCCTCATTGGCTCCTTGGCCCTATATAAGCCCATGGGGTGTAGTGGGCTGTGCTCAGGGAATTGGGTGGGTTTCTGGTGATGGCTCTCTGAGTGTTTGCTACTGAGTTGGACTCTGACTGACCCCTGGAGCCCCAATGTGGACCCTGGCTCTCGCTCTGACCCTTGACTTGACTTGTGACCCTCATACTGGCTTGGACACCTGGCTCCCTCTGCCCAGGATCTTGACACCCACTTACTTCACCTCCCCAGGTGGAGAAAATGAGCAAAGTCACATGAGGGGCCGGGCAGGGGGTTGACCTGGGCTTTCTGGGGTGGAGATGAGCCAGAAGCCTGGGGAGAGCTGCAAGGAAAGACCCCAGGTAGGAAATGCTGGGTGTTGCTGCTCCATAGAGACACTCAGCAAAGCCCAAGGGGGGCTGGGGAGGGACACAGACCCTCAGGCAGGAGGGGGTGGGCCCAGCTTTAGATGGGGGGTGGATGACTTGTGTTTGTTTTGGATGTAGGTGCCCTGTGTGGGGTAGACATCCCCTTTAAGGACTTGGTGGGAGGGCCAGGTTACCATGGCAACCAAACCCAGCTGCAAGGTGGGGAGAGCTGACCTGAGTGAGGAGAAACTGAGGCAGCAGCTGCTGGCCTGAAACTGGGCTGGGTGAGTGATGCTGTTATGGGGCCCTGTATGTGGTAAGGGGATGGAGGGGGTTAGTGTACCCTGCACCTGGGAATGGGTTACAAAGGCCAAATTCTCTGCTGGTGGAAATGGGCCAGACTCCATGAAAGTCAAGGTGACCCTGCTGCAACTGACTTGGCCCGAGCCTGCGGCATTTGTAGATCGGGTAGGAGGTGAATGAAAACGTGATGCTTTCGTAAGAAAGAGTAGCCCAGTAGACACAGCTACTGGTTGTGTTTTCTCTGCCAGCGTCAGTGAAGTGAAATTTGGGGGGAGGATGAAATTAGCAAAACTGAGGGGCAACATGATTGTGCCAAAAAAAACCCAAATCTGTCCCTTCTTCCCATGCGTGATTCAATCCCTGGTTGCGCACTGGAGAGTTG